CCATACACAACTATAGGAACCTAACGCTTCTAACGTACCGCAACTATAGGAGCGTTTACCCTACTTCTTTCTTTGACAATACGCGAATTCCGAAAGCCGTGCGGACAACCGAAGTGAGAAAAAAGGCTTATTATCATTTAAAGAGTGCCACCAAAATAAATGTGATAGTCTATGTTGGCAAGTTGATTAATTTTGGTTTCCTCCCTAGATATTCTACTTATTTACTACTGGGCTTTGTATCAAATTAGTTAATTTAAAGAACGTGTCAATCATTTCAAGATTTCGCGACCGTACCGAACAAGTTCTATACTAAATAAGCTCAAAAGCGTTTGACAAGCTCTATAGAATTGCGTATCACTTCTGCGTAAGCTCCGTAGACGTAGGCGCGTTGATTCCGACAGCCGCGAAAAGTTAAACATACATCGATGCGTCAATAGCTGGCGCCGGTGGTGTACACTCAAAATTATTACTAAATGAAGAAAGGTTAAAAAATAATAATTTTATTGTTAAGTAATGTTTATACATTGATCGGATTAAAGCTTGGTTTAAAATGATACTTAATTAGAATAATGTTGCGGAATGCATTCAGTGTATACGAGGTAAATATACAAAAAATGGCAAAGTTTCACACGTCATGTAAAATTCTATAGCGGTCATTCGTTCAGTATTATTTTTTGTGTCTTTATTTATTTGGAAATATTGGAAGAATGATCGTTAAATCTTTCCGGCTTGTTGGGTGAGTATGAGCAGGTTTATAATGCTGGACCTCCCAAATAGCATGTACGTGGTCTTCGGGTCCAGCTTATACTGTATAAATTTCATTGTTTAAAAAACAGATTGACCTTCTAAGGCTCCTCGAATACACCGGCCGTCATCATCGCTGAGGGAAACCCAAGGAACCAATCAAGGCAACTTTGGACCAACCCCATTAGGCTTTGGCGACCAGTTCGAACCGAAAGCTGGGTCATGGTCTTGTTCTGGATGCTACACCAACAACAAAACCGATGATCTGTTCTGTGTGACACTCCCCGAGATACAACCGTGCCCTATAAGGAAAACTAAGGAGTTCTTGGAGGTAACACTCCAAAATTCAGTCAATAGGCTCAGTTTCACTTTGACTTCAAGCTTTATAAAATTCTGATAATGATTCCCTCATTCCTTCAGAAATATCTGTGATCCACGGTGCTTATTACCGATGTCACTTCACGGTGAAGTGACAACTTATCACTCACGGTGAAGTGATTCCCATTTGATTCACACGGCAATCACTTCACCGTGAGTGACAACTGATCACTTCACTTTGTTTTCACCGTGAAGTGACACCCATAATAAGGGCCCACATAACGTAAAGCTGGCTGTACTATTCGCCAACAACAACGCTCTGGTGTTCGACTTCTGGACGACGTAGGATGCGTATGGAATCGATCGCAGCAGATACGATGCACTGGCAATGACATTCTGGCAAATATCCGGCAGTCACAATCTGGCCGCAAGCCTCCGTTGGCTCAGTGCAGATATCATCAATGCATTCGTACACTAAAAAATATTGAAATCTAAATAGTATAAAAGTTACGCTAAATAGCAACTCTCCGTACCGACGCAAAGGTCGGTATAAAGGGAGAGAATGCAAAATTAGTATAAAAATGGTTTATGCGTGCCATAGTATAAAATCGAAATATATACTCACAATGCATATATACGGTTTATTCAAGAGAATTTATTTTTCGCTTCTTTATTTCATTTATGGTAAATATTATTGTTTTCAAATGAAAATTAAAATTGTCTCAGGAAGCTTTTTTCATTAGTTTATTTTTTATTAATAATATTCAAAAAAATACTTACAATTTCGATGCTGCCCAGCAGATTACAGGCGCAGTATAAATCCGCTGGGTCAAAGCCCTTCACCAGCACGAAGCTCCGAAGGGAATCCAGATGTTCTTATTCCTGTCATTTTAGTAAACACTGATCGAATTCCACTCCGTTATTCGAACTTAGTATAATTTTGACGAAAATTTTAATCGTACATAAAATGCATATAATTTAATCTATATTCGCTTTGTAATATTTTTGAGTGTAGGGTATATGCTCCACTATGTCGTACCACAAAAATACGTATGGTTATGTCACAATAGAAGCACGCCACAGTGGAAATCCCGAGCCATAGTGCAAACACTTATCTCAAATCAATACCATGTACAAAAATGGTGTTTAACATTGTTCCCTGAGTAATACCTCAATGAAAACAACAATGAAAGTTTGTCACGCAAGTAGAAGGAGCATTGTTGGTAACTTTCTGAAATATTTCAATAGTATCATTCCCTTGCAAACCCAAATAAATCTATCTGCAAATAAAATAAGAGTGATTTGCGGAGAAACCCGCCAGTATCGCACCCAACGTCAGTGCCTATACGTACGCGTACTACAACACGGCTCTCAAACAAAGGAGTAACAAGTGTGAACCTATCACTGTTAGACTAGATCTTTGGTTTTCTCATGTAGTGGTTCATCAGAGAGAGGAAGCTTATTAATCCCCATTGCCTGGCCATGACACCATTCTATCGCGGCATGAGCCAGCAACGCCGGTCATAAACCTACCGTCTCCAACACTCTACTATAAAGCATGAAGTTAAGCCCGCCCACCAATAGCAAGGTGCAAAAACTAGCCTAGGGGAGGGACTCTACAACCAGTTTATTGATTCAAAAAAAAAATTCTCTGAGTTAACCGAATAATATATTTGAATCTATGCCAAAATTATAGTAGGCCCTGAGCCAAAAATATATCCATTTGAATTTAAAAATCATTTCTCTGCGTGTAGCATACATGTCAAAGATGAATACTAATAGTACGTTCAGACTACAGAGTTATAACATGTTATAGCGCTATCTTGATGGTGGTTTCTGTGTAGCAATTATTTGACAACCGGTATAACATGTTATAACTCTCCAGTCTGTACAGCGTTTAAGATGAAACTGTTGGAAGAAAAACTTTCTATTTATTTTAGTGTCCTCTTTCACGGTCCCTTTCATCCAATGAGAAACCCCCTTATTCAAGGTAATTTTGTGGTTTTGCTGCCCCCTCGGAAGAGATGACATTTTGCGCTCATTTTTATCAAAACAATCACACCAAAATCAGAGATGTCCCATTTTTTAATTACTCGATTAACAACTAATCTATTTTTTGTTCGCTGTGCTGCCATTTTTTCACCAATGCGAGTGCACCACATGTTTGTAACTATCGGTGATGATCCTCTGGAGATGTTAATGCTTATATTGGCATGATATAACCGATTACACATATTTTACTTTTCGGTTCGTTAATCTTTTTTTTTTTTTTTTTTTTTTACTTTATTATAGAGATTTTTAGCCATAGGCTAGTTCATCTCTTGGTTCGTTAATCGATTGATCGATTATTCGAATGAAAATCGGCCACCACTAGATGAATGTGAAACATGCATCATTTCAAATATAAGGACCGTACATAAATAATGATACAATTTGAAAGGGACCGGGGCTAATCACAAATTACGTCCCCACGGTAACTGAAATAAACACGAGTGTTCACCGGTTGTACACCCGCATAAACGCGAACCATAAATGGACCTTACCTAAAATGGTTAAAAATTGTTTATAATCCCTGCTAAACTTTAACTGAAATGGTTATGGAACTTTACATGAACGTTCAATGATAAAGTTTCAACCTTATGTATGATGGTTTTTTAGAACTGGACCTTACAAATAATGGGTTGTTAAGAACCATTACCATTCCAAATTCTTGTTTTCTCCATACATTTTCGGAAAGAGAACTATATTAGAACCTTTTAACTTATGGTTTGAGAACTTTAATGATAATGGTTATGGTAGTCAGTAAGGTCCACGAATGGTTTGGTAACATCGATCAACTTTATGTGGAATATATCGCGAATTGGTTGCCTGTAATTAACTGATTACCAATTCACGATATATTCCACGTAAAGTTGAGCGATAATACAAAACCATTAATGGACCTTACTGACTACCATAACCATTACCATTAATGTTCTCAAATCATAAGTAAAAACGTTCTTATATAGTTCTCTTTCTGAAAATGTATGGAGAAAACAAGAATTTGGAATGGTAATGGTTCTTAACAACCCATTATTTGTAAGGTCCAGTTCCAAAAAACCATAATACATAAGGTTGAAACTTTATCATTAAACGTTCATGTAAAGTTCCATAACCATTTCAGTTAAAGTTTAGCAGGGATTATAAACAATTTTTAACCATTTTAGGTAAGGTCAATTTATGGTTCGCGTTTATGCGGGCATGATGTGGCTCATTCCAGCTCAAGTATATATACCATCTTTGGTCAATGTCACCGATTTGAACCAAACTTTGCCAAAACGCCTATTTTGGCATTCTGAACAAACAACTTTTTCGGTTTTGCTCTTATGTGCCTAGATCCGATTGGGCTATTACCAACAGTTACTTCTATGGACGCAAGCCACCGCCACCGCCGAGGTAAAAATGGTTAATGGACCGGCGCACAGGTCTACAACAAATGATTTTATGCAAAATTTGTAAAACTTAATTACGGACAGAACATTCTATGATGCACCATTCATAGTTTCATGGGTCATTTAACATTGAAAAAGTATACATTTTCAAAATTATTGGGGGTAGCACTAGCACTCTTGCCCCACCCTGCCATACTTCGGTTCATCGTTTATCATTATCACAACCTGTTAATAAAAATTGCAGTCTTGCCTAAACCACTCATTACAACCTGTGGGAACTAGAATGACTCATAGATAGAAGTCGCGGAGGGGGAATGAACTCACTGTTGCGCCTGTCTGCTGCCATTCATAAGCGCATATTGTCCTCTATCTGGTTTCATGGGTCAGTAACTGTAGTAACTGAGATAGCAATTTGAGCTGCTAATGGAAGGTTGTTACATTACGAAGCCTTACTTACCTTAAGGTATGTTGTTTCCCACAGGAAATAAAAACAGTCTCGTTTAATACTATTACAGTTTATTATTTATGATAGGTTTATTCTTACAAATGTTTCATCCAAACGAAGCATCTTCCTATTCGGGCTGAACTTCTTTTTTCTTTCTTATATTTTTGACATTGTTCACTCTCTACTGCTAGATAGTAAATACGATAGAGTCAAAACAAAAACAAAAAAAAATGAAAATAAAATAAAAATCTAGTCTTAAACATCAATCGACAAGGATTGCGTGTCCTAATACGAAGGTAAAATGCATTCGATAATGTAGTTGCGCTCTTACAAATCTACCACGGTACACCAATAAAGAATAGTTGATTTTCCCTTTTTTCTCTCGTTCCAGGCCCAGCATGGTGGCCTTTCGTGCTATATTTTAACGGAAATTTATTCGCCATCGTAGTAATTGACCCGAACCTTTGCGGCGTTGCGTCTGGATGATTTGCGTCCAATGTCGACTAGCTTAAGTCGCTCGGTCGGCTTCCTATTGATGCGCAGTTCCTTAACGGTAGCGCTCTTGGTTTTGTCCAGCTTTTCGTTGAACTTTGCGATCAGATCCTTGCAGTTCAGGTGCTCTTCCGGTTCCCACGTGTCGTCCTTGGAGGAGAATCCTTTCCATCGAACCAAATAGTCTCGCGCTCCGTTGCGTTTGAAGTGTACATCAATAATCTTTTCCACCTCGTATTCGACTTCATCTTCTTCCTCATCCTCGTCGTCGTTATCTTCTTCGTCGCTCTTGGCAGACTGCTTCTTGGGCGATGCTTTGGGTCTACCCCTCTTGCCAGCGGCAGCCTTTTTTCCAGCAACTGCTTTCGGGGTAGCTTTACCCTTCTTTGCAACTGGAGCAGAGTCTTCCTTTTCAAGCTTGGCTTTGTAGCGCTTGATAATATCCGGACACGATAGTGTAGCTTCCGGTTCCCAGGTATCATCGTTTGCCCCAAAATTCTTCCAGCGAATACGGTAAACCATTTTACCACCACGCTCCTTACGATGGTCAACAATGTCCTCGACTTCGTATTCTTCTTCTTCTTCCTGCTCCTCATCTTCAATTTCTTCTTTCTTGGATTTCTTAGCAGGTTTTGGTTTGACGGCCTTTTTCAATTCCTTCTTCTTAGGAGCAGCACGTTTTCCTGGAAAAAATATAAGTTGTAAAGCCCTTCCATTAAAACCTATCCACGCCTCTGTAAAAAAAAAACATCGAAACTCACCTAATCCACCCTTCTTGCCCTTCTTCGATCCAGACTCATAATCCGAATCGTTGTCATTCTTTACGTCCTCGGCGTCATTCTCTTCGGCTTCTTCCGCTTCCTCCCCGTCATCTTCCTTCTCATCATCCTCCTTGCCATCTCCGTTTGCCTTCACATCACCATTGCCTTCCGGGGCAGCCTTTTTAGCCGGCTTGGCCTTGGCTCGGCCAGATTTTTTCAACGGAACATCGTCCTCCTCTTCATCACCATCGTTCTCTTCGCGCTTCTCGGCATCATTGCCGTTGGTCTTAGCCTTTCCCTTGTTCTTTGCATCCGCATCGTCACCAGTTTCGGCATCCTCGAAATCGTCATCGGTGCCGAGCTCTTTCGAGTCACCATTTTCTTCGGTGTTATCGTTTGCGTTTTTAACTTCGGCATCTTCTTCCTTGTCGGCGACCGGTGAAGTCTCCTTCTCTTCATTGTCCGATGCATTTTCGGCATCGTCGACTCCTTTGCGTTTAAGATTTTCCTTCCTCATTTCCGGTTACAATCAGCCACTAAAACTGCACTTTTCTATGAAATTTTAATACGAAAATTTTTCAACGAAGCTGTATGAAAACCACTGAGAACTTGAATCGGTGAAGAGACGCTGCAGTCGAAAAATATTTTTCTCCTTGTTCTCACTCAGTCAGTTTGACACGTTTGACAGCAAAGCTTGAAAACAACAGCCTGATGAGCGAAAAATAATTCGGCGGGCGCAGAGAGACTCACTCACACCGTTACACAGAAAGAGAAAAAAATATTTTTATTCAGCCGGAGCTACACTCAATTGGCACTGCACTGCAAATCTGCACTCAAAGATAAATTAAATCAAAAAAGCTTAAAAAGTATGCAGTTTCCCGCTTCACCTTATCGAATCCGAGCCATGATTACTTCGGCAGTAGTCATGCACAACCCTAATAAAAATAACCATAAAAGAGAGCTCAACGACGTGTTTGGGGTATCATCCAAACCATTTGTGGGATAGTTTACCCATCCGGGATACAGTTAGTTTATGGTATTTGTTTATTAGGGAACCCTAATAGAAATGTTATGGTTATTTTGCTTAACGACGTGTTCGAGGTGATTCTGTGACACTACCCCGAATGTCACTACCCCGAACGCCGTTACCCCGAATAGTACACTACCCCGAATGGCCATTACCCCGAATGGCGACTACCCCGAAATTAAGACAAATAGAAGAACAGCAAGGGATAAATTTTTGAGAAGGAAATTTTCTTTTCTAATTAACCACTTCATTCGAGCACTTACAATGACGTTTACTACCACTCGAACTTTGAAATAAAACATTATTTTGAGATTTTTTCTTCTAGAACCTCGAGAAAAGTAGCCAACATTTGTGCGTTTTATAATTAAAAATAGAAATTAGTTGGTCCAGTTTTGTGAAATCGCTGGTAGAAAGTCACGCCAAAACTGCTTGACAAAGTGGTCAATTTATACTGAATACATATGATAGGATTCTATAACATTCCCCAGAAAACCATTCCCCCGAAAACCATTCCCCAGAAAAGCATTTCCCAGAAAAGTATGCCATGTACATATTAGATTGACTATTTTTGTTTATTATAGTCATTCCTGGAATATTCTTTCGCGTATATAAAAAGAAAAGAAAAACTTATTAGGATATGTTCATAAATTACGGAGACAGTTTTGGGGGGTGGGGGTTGACAATTGTGCACGGTCCATACAAATTTTAAAAATTGTGTATGGAAAATTGTCTACGCAGGGGAAGGGGGGGGTCAAGAATCCCAAAAAAACTGTCTACGTAGTTAATGAACAGCCCCTTAATGGCTCAAGGGGGTTTCCCTAGGGGAAGGACAGCTCCAAGTATCAGTATCAATACTGATGGTGGAAATATTAAATATTTTAATATGTGTGATATTTGCGAATCTTATACTTAGTCTGACAGTTGTTTTTTGTTTGTTTTTGACTATTTTTGTTTTAAGTGTACATTTGACATTCGTTTAATCAAAAATGTATTTCACACGAGAGGCAAGTCATTCCTTTGTGATCTTGTTGGCCACCGCCACCAAAATCCGCTCCTTGTTCTCATAACTTCGGCATTTTTTGGTAGCTGTTCTCAGTGCACATAATCGGCCGCACTCTAGGGGAAGTACAACTTGATCTGAAGTAATATTTGATGTAAAAATTGCTCAAATTGGTAGATATTATAATTTTTAGTATAAATATTAATGATATTAACTGTCAAGCGGAAAGCTTCAAAGTAAAAAAAAAATAACAGTGTAACTTTAACGCATACACTCAATGACGTTGCACCGTTGTTGTTTATGTTTACTGCAGCTTTCTGCAGTTAATTTTTGCCTAGATTTTCGTTTTCGATAGCTCTGATCGATTTCGTCTTCGGCTATTCATGATAAAAACGGTACTGGACATTCCCCCAGCAACAAATCTCTCCAAGTTGCATTCTCATGGCGAATCGAGCGTAATACGACCACGGGACCATCACTCTGGGCTTCCGTTAACAGGGGCGGCATTGTCAATCGATTCCCGTTCCATAGGAGAACAGCACATTGGTTAACAGTCGATGAAGAATTTGTGGAAATTAATTCCTAGGAATGGAAGTGCGGCCTAGGGGAAGGACAGCTCCAAGTATCAGTATCAATACTGATGGTGGAAATATTAAATATTTTAATATGTGTGATATTTGCGAATCTTATACTTAGTCTGACAGTTGTTTTTTGTTTGTTTTTGACTATTTTTGTTTTAAGTGTACATTTGACATTCGTTTAATCAAAAATGTATTTCACACGAGAGGCAAGTCATTCCTTTGTGATCTTGTTGGCCACCGCCACCAAAATCCGCTCCTTGTTCTCATAACTTCGGCATTTTTTGGTAGCTGTTCTCAGTGCACATAATCGGCCGCACTTCCAGTATAAATCCGCTGGGTCAAAGCCCTTCACCAGCACGAAGCTCCGAAGGGAATCCAGATGTTCTTATTCCTGTCATTTTAGTAAACACTGATCGAATTCCACTCCGTTATTCGAACTTAGTATAATTTTGACGAAAATTTTAATCTAACCAATGTATAAATTTTGAAAAACGATAGAATGCATAAAATTTAATCTATATTCGTTTTGTAATAATTTTGAGTGTTTGAAATAGAGCTTTTTGACGTTTAACGGTGCACATTACTGCACCATTTAATCGAACGAGTGCGAGCAAGAGGGAAACAGATTAGTGGGAAAACAAACCGTTCATTCTTCCATGTGTGCTAGATAGAGAAAGACGATTAAACGTCAAAAAGGTCTATAATGATGTAATGGCAAAAAGCAGATACAATATTACAAAAAAAAAACAATCACACATCCAAGCTCGCATCATGATGGGCTTTATAAGCATATAAGTAGATATAAGTAGACATGGAAAAAACATTTATTCTCCATGATGAATTACACACACACAAGCCATTGGAAATGCCGTCTTCCTTATACCCCGTTCACATTACAGCCTATATCACGTGATATACGCTGTCTTGCAATGAGCACTCATGCATCTAGTTTTCACTGGAAATCCTATGTATGAGTGCTCATTGCAAGACAGCCTATATTACGTGATATAGGCTGTAATGTGAACGGGGTATAAAAGTAAACGTAGTGTATCATCAATTTAGTAAAGTGAAACTAATCAGAGAGTTTAATCACAGACAACAGACATAACACTTTGAAAAAGTTTTTCTTGAAAACATAGTATCTCAAAACATAGGACCTCAGTAACGACATCTCTCGGGCTTCTTGCGTAAAACAAGCTTGCTCGCTTGCAAGCTTCAAAATTCCAATAAAAAATTATCATTTGTTTTCAGTATAAATTCCAAAACGAAATTTCCTTCTAAAAATGTACCCTTCTTTTGACCCCTTGCTGTTCTTTCATTTGTCTTAATTTCGGGGTAATGGCCATTCGAGGTAGTAGGGCATTCGGGGTAATGGCCATTCGGGGTAGTAGGACATTCGGAGTAGTGGCATTCGGGGTAATGGCGTTCGGGGTTATGGCGTAGTGACATTCGAGGTAGTGTCACAGAATCGTTCGGGGTATCATCCAAACCATTAGTGGAAGAGTTCGACTATTTGGGTTACGTTTATGGTATTTGTTTAATAGGGAAGGTCATGCATGATTAAAATCGAAATAATTTTTCCAGTATTAAACTTTATTCTTTTTCAATACTGATATATAATCAAAAGAGATGAAAATTCAATCAAAAATTATTAAAATAGAATCAAAAATGATTTAATTTTATTCAAAAAAACATAATCTACAATCCAATCAACCATGATTAAACTGGGATTACTATCAGATGCTTATTTTTTAGATAGAGAGGATTAATTTTTAATCATTCGATATGATTAAACTGAGCTTAATGTCAAATTGATTAAATTTCAAGCAAAATGTGAATATCAGTGATTATCAGTGTGAGCAAATCATATTTTGATTGAAAAGTAATCATTTTAATTCAAGACAATCATTTCAAAAGGTCCTATCTGTCATTGAAGCTGATTGGAGAAAAATTATTTGAATTTTTGCAATATATTTTTAAATACCATTTTTAATTACGACATAAAACGATAATCTTTTGTTTTCTCAAATGCATAGGAAACACATAGAATTCGACTGAAGTGTATGATTTTTCGTTTTATTCATAATTTTCAGGTTTAATTACTGGTTTTGTTACATAGGACCTTTGGCTTTTTTCAGTATCAGTTAGGACCTGTCAAATTGGTCTGATTGCAAAGATTAATCACAGACAAACAGACATAACACTCGCAAGTTGTTCATCGAACAAGCATTTAACGGTCAATTTCAAAGTATCGTAGTTGGTAGCACCATAGAGGTAACTCTAAGACCACTGGGTCCCGAAGAAAATCATTATTATTTTTGGCTCACTCAGTACCAGAACAACGGTCCCAAGCAGTCCCAAGCTATTTCACTCACCCCTGCATGTTCTGCATGAATCCACACACCCCTGATGTTATCTGTCAAACTTTCATAGCGAATCAAAACAAACATAGTGTAGTAATAGAATTTCAACTAGAATAGGGTACGTTAATCGTTTGCTTGGGACCAATAGGCTACTAAAGTGGTGAGCCAATTTAAAATCGTTAGTTTTGTATTGATTGTTGGTAGCACCGCCACCTGTGGCGCGCATAGTCAATTCCCTTGCGTTTGACGTTTACACACTACCGCCATCTGTTCAGCGTACTACCCACCACAGTGTACTCAACAGATGGCGGTAATGTTTTAGCGACGATGTTTTACAGTGAGAAATATTCAATGTGTTATGTCTGTTTGTCTGTGGATTAATAATACTCAAAACCTTGGTAATACCCCGTTCACATTACAGCCTATATCACGTTATATAGGCTGTCTTGCAATGAGCACTCATACATAGGATTTCCAGTGAAAAATAAATCTATGAGTGCTCATTGCAAGACAGCGTATATCACGTGATATACGCTGTAATGTGAACGGGGTATAAGAATACGGTTTAGAGGTCAGATAATTACAACTACAACATTATTTGTAATTGTTGATGGGCTTAAAACTACTATTCTGCCAATTTATTAAGTAAACAACGTTTATAATAAGAACTTGTCCATTATTATTTTTTTTCTGATGTATGCAGG